GCAGAGCCAAGCACGCCAGCTCCCACGATGATAACTTCTGGGTCATTTTGAGAGGATGTTGATGTAGAGGCAGCTGCTCCTATTAAGGTTGTTTCTGAAATATTGGTTCCTTTTCTGCGCTGTTTTAAAAAAAAGGTAAACTATGTATCCAAATCTGTTAGATTCAAATCATGCCACTACCATGTAGACACACTGGACTTTCGCATCCTGGGCTAAAGCTAGATACTAAACATTATCAAACCAAACAAACTGTTACATTTTAAAATCTAGATAATATATAATAATCAATGATATCAAAATATTCGTTAAATAAAAGTGTGTCATATTATCCCAATAAAATTAAATATTTATTGTTTTCTAAACATGATATTTGGAAAATGTTATACATACATATTTAGAAATCCACACTGGGCCGAACATAATAAATGCTCATAAGGGACTTCAAAGACTTCTTATAGGGCAAACTGTATCATTCATAACTAAATTTTTCAAATATATCCTGGGAATCAACGAGATGCAAATCACTTACAACTTCTGATTTGACTTCATCTTACAAACTATTCAGCACCTTTTAGATACCTTCTTTTTGTTTGTTTGTTTCTTTTTTTTTTTTTTTTTCAGGTTCACGCCATTCTCCCGCCTCAGCCTCCCGAGTAGCTGGGACTACAGGCGCCCGCCACTTCGCCCGGCTAGTTTTTTGTATTTTTTAGTGGAGACGGGGTTTGTTTGTTTAAGATTGAGTTTCACTCTAGTTGCCCAGGTAGAGTGCAGTAGCGCAACCTCCGCCTCCCAGATTCAAGCAATTCTCCTGCCTCAGCCTCCCGAGTAGCTGGGATTATAGGCATGTGCAACCACGCCCAGCTAATTTTGTATTTTTAGTAGAGACGGGGTTTCTCCATGTTGGTCGGCTGGTCTTGAACTCCCAACCTCAGGTGATCCGCCTGCCTCAGCCTCCCAAAGTGCTTTGATTACAGGCATGAGCCACCAAAAATTTAATGAAAATTAGATATTTTCATTATTCATCTTTATTTTCTCTTTCTGGATTTTCATTTGAAAAATCTATCTCAATTTAATATCACTTTTATATGACAAAAGGATTGTCAAATCTTGCCTACCAATCTATTAATTGAAGATTATCTAAATAAACAAAATTACAAGAGAACAAATAACTCATACTGACCTTTAGGATTTGACTTGTTTACAATTTTGGCCCTTAACATATAAGCACATATTTAATTTATCTCTCCTTTTTCCCCATCCTGATACTCTAAGAGATCCTAGTCAAACAGCTGGTCCCCAAAAAAGCAACAAGGAAAAACATTAAACCTATCACTGGCTGAACTGACAGCAAAACTTTAACTTTGATCATAAAAAGATGCAAAGTCTTGTTTTGAGAGATTTATGACTACTGAGAATAATAGTGTACGCTGGCTTTTTAAAATGAACAATTCAATTTTGTAGTATTTCTCCTTGGTAGGTAGATTCACACATTTGAATACCTTTCAGATACAGAATTGCAAGGAATCACCTTCCTTGAGTTCTCTGACCTTAATGATTAAGGTAAGACTAAATACCATTTGAAGGGGTTTGTAAAAAATTATCAAGCAAAAAGGAAGAAGACGAAGCCTAAAATCCTTTAGAGCTTTACTCTGTGATTCTAACATCCACCCATCATTCTTTTACCTCTATAATGGACTGGGAATTAGGTCTATTCCTTTTTTTATATAATTTCTCTTAGAAAAATACTTTTCTGTCCTTTACTACGGAAAGATGTCAATATTCTACTCTTCCCATTAGTATGTCTTAATGACCAGAACTGACTATATTTAAATTACAGTAGAGGGCAAGACAAGCCCCTCTTGTCATCTTAACCAAAAATGTGTTTCTTCATAAGTTTTTCCTGTTTTATACACACACACGCACACACACACACACAGACACCCTGAAAGGAGAGCTCTGGAGGAAAACAGGCGTTGCAGAGCCTCATCAGTAGAGTAAGCACTAATGGGAACTTAGTACTCAATAGATCACAATCTAACAACTCCCTGGTGCAAAAAAAATAAAGACAAAGCCTGGGGCATTCACAAAATGGAACCAGTATTGATTGCTGATAACCCAATTTTCCTACTCCAAAATTTCTCTACACAGCATGAAAACAGGAATAGCATTCCAGCCACCTGAACTACAGCTCAGTGACCTTAAGGGAAATGATCTCAGACCACAATACGAAAGAGTTCAAATTGAACATTAAGGATTCCCTCTCCCACCTTTCCCATTCCTCAAATCCATTCACCATGTCACCGAACTCAGCGCTACTCAGAAGGCTCATCCTAAGAGATGTATATTACCTCTATACTAGTATTAACAGCGACTATCATCAGGCGGTTATTGACTAGGTATTAACTACCAGCAAGGGTGGTGCCATTCCCAGCTAATGGAAGAGGTAACAGATTCTCACAGAAATTAAGCAATTTGCCAAAGATCTCACATTCAGAAATGGTGGCGCAAAAATTTAAAAAGCAAGTGTGGGTTTACTGCTATAGTCTCTTGCCTGATAGTCCTGCTTCCATTCTTGTACCCCTATAACCCATTCACCATACAATAATGGCAATGTTCTTTTTAAAAAGTAAAAGGCCGGGCTCGGTGGCTCACGTCTGTAATCTCAGCACTTTGGGAGGCTGAGGTGGGCGGATCACTTAAGGTCAGGAGTTCGAAACCAGCCTGGCCAACATGGTGAAACTCTGTCTCCACAAAAATACAAAAAAAAAAAAAAAAAAAAAAAAAAAAAAACTAGCCGGGAGTGGTGGCATGCACTTGTAATCCCAGCTCCTTGGGAAGCTGAGGCACGAGAATCGCTTGAACCAGGGAGGCGGAGCCGAGATCACGCCACTGCATTCCAGCTTCGGCGACAGAGCGAGACTTTGTCTCAAAAAATTAAAATTAAAAAAAAAGAGTAAACATCAAATAATGTTACTCCGATGCTTAAAATCCTCCAGTGCTCTTGGGAGAACTCTTGGGAAAAAGTCCAAACACTCATTGCCAACATGCCCTAAATGATCTGGCCCAAACTACTCTCCCCTCATCTCCTCCCAGTGGCCGCCTCTGCTTCCTTTGCAGGAATCCCAACTATACCTGTATTTGAACAGCTGGTCTTTGCGTTAGGACATTACTGCAAGCATTTGCTCAATGCTCCAATATTCGGGGGAGGAGGACTTTGAACCCAATGCCTCAAATTGTTGAGCATTTTCCTTCTGCCTGCTTTTCAAACTGTTCTGTCACTTTCCCCCGTCAGCTGTCACTTCTTACAAGCACTGGCCTTACCCGCAGCAGCACGTTTCTTTCTCCCTCAGGCACAAATCCAATCCTTACCCAAGAATTTTTAAAAACTTTTCCATCATGGAAAGTGGTTGTTCTCCTCCTTCAAAGTGAAATTCTAATGTTTCATTCCATCTTTCATAATCAAATCAATAACCAACCTCCATCTGAGGCTCAACCAGTGCTAAATGAAACGAATGTTTTCATTCATTCTGAAGGTCAAAGATGTAACCAAGGCACAGCAAAGAGTTTAAAATAAAAAATACATGAGAATTTATACAAGCACTCACCTACCTAGCCTTTTGCCCTTTAAATAAAACTTCCATTTGAGCGAACCCAATCCTACTTCTACGTAAGACATTCATCTGCCCGCTTTGAAATCAACCTACCCTCCTGGCCTCGAGCTGCTCCTTATTTTCTGATTCAGGGGGGGACTTGGCCCAGAAGAAGCCAATGAAAGGCAGGGCTGAGAGAATATCCGAGAAGAGGGCGAACTGGGAGCCGCTCCGCTGGCGCCCGAGGAGACCCCCGTTTCGGTGGCGACAGCGGTAGGAGAGCACCAGGCCCAGCGAGAGGAACACCAGCACGCACAACAGGACCTCCCTGTTGGCCAAAGTGACGAAGTCCCCGCACTTCTTATAAAAATAGGTGAAAGTGGCAATGCCCAGAAAAGTCCACATGGTTCCAAGGCTTCTTTGGTGGCACCGGTCAAGGCGGAGATTCTCTGCTCGGGTGGGTTTAAGGTTCTCCCCAAAATGCGGTACCAAGAGGAGCACGGAGAGCCGGCCAGACTCCAGTCAACAGCGTCCCAGGACGAGAAGTCCGATCAGACCAGTTTTTAAAAATCATATAAAGTTAGTGTAAAAGTATGTGAAGCCAAGTTGTACAGGACGTAGAAAGCAGTATTTAAAAATCGCCTGCTGGAACAGCTCCCGAGCAGACTCGCTCCTCCTCGCCCAGGCAATCCAGATATTCCCTTTTCTCTTTTTTGATGATGTTCCCTGGGCGGTTGCTGCGAGTGATGGATAGATACTCTTCTGATACTGGCTCTTCGTGCTATAATTTCTTTTCCCACCAACAGCAGGTGCCCTTTCAGAAGGGAACGGGAGTGAAGGGAGGGTCACAGAAACACCTCTGCACTGGGGGAAACGCGGTCTCGCCTTAGGCGACAGCGACCGGAAGGCACAGGGGCTGCGGGCCCGCGCGGGCTCAGAGGCTTCTTTTTCCGCGGACGGCGACGCTGCACAGGCCAACCTCGGGAAAACGCCTGCGCCGCCGCCTTCTCCAACAAAAGATGGCCTCGGACTCAAGAGTGCGGCTCCAGGGCAGTGCAGCTCCAACCTCGCGACTTAGAGGCCTCCCGCTTCGCTGACCCCCAACCCCGCCAACTGCGACTTCGCTTCCCCACCGATGAAAGGCGGTTTCCAGGGGACCTCCCTCAGACGGCGGCGGCGGCTCCCGACGGCCTCCTCACCAGCATCCCTCACGGGCGGCGGCTTTCCCC